AAGTACATACATATACATATATTATAAAAATAATGATAAAAAAAAATTTATAAAAAATTGCTCTTACCTTTAAAGTAAGATTTTTTAGAATATACACGGCATAAAATTATAAATTATTATTTATAAAATTAATATTATTATTATTATTATTTTTACACGGCCGCTAAGGCAAGTGTGGCGGGTGTATTATGCAATAAAATAATTTGTAATTGTAAAACATGTTATTTAACATGATGTTAAATAACTGTTATTTAAATTTAATTAATTTTTAAATTATTAATTTATTTTTAAATTATGTATTGTATAAATAACAAAATCTACGTCTTCCAAAAAAAATATATGTAATTACTAATTACTATTGATAAACTATACCTGTTAATATTTATAAGTATTTAAGTGAGCTATTGTAAACTGCATTGGGGACTTGAGAATCGCAAATACCATCAACATATTTAAATTAACAATAAATAAGATAAGACATATTATATTATATTATATTATGATATATACTACAGCATTGTATTATGAATATGAATATATAGAGAAAAATAGTATTGTTACAGTTATTATTTAAAGCTATTGAAGCCGAGCAAATAATAAAAACTGAAGAAAAATTTCACGCAGTGTGGCTTTACAAATAAGATACGTTCAACAGGAACGGGCAAACTAGGTGAAACCTTTACAAAGTTAATTGGTTCATGTTGTTACGCCGTTCGCAAACGTTGTGACGCGACAATAAATAAGTAGGTTAGTTGGAAAGATTGATAGCGGAGTTTTATTGATATCACATGTATCAGATATTCAGATATTCAGATATGGTTATTAATTATTGATAAATAATGTTGGGCTTACTTGCGTTATTATAATTATTATTAGTGTTTTAAATGTACTTGTAGTTATTGTTCATTGAATGTAATCATATTGGGTTTAACAATGTATTTAAACAATAATAATGGTTTAAAAGTCGATTTTATTATTTATTTATTTAACCTGTCCTTTTAAATTTTATTTTAGAAAGAGTTTTTTTCAATTGTTTTATTTTTAAACATAAATTAATTTTATTGTAAATTATAGGATGATTTTTAGCTAAATTTTATGATGAGCTTGTAAAAAGTTGATTATAAAATTTATTATGGATTTTTCTCTCAGAAAAATTTCTATTTGTTCAAAAATTGCGAGTTTATTTAAACTAAATTTTTTTTGTACGAATTTTTAATTTAAAAAGTAGAAAATGATTTTTGTGTTTTAAGTATGAAAAAAATCATTGATTTTTTGGTCGAGAAGTTAAGAATTCATCTCAAATATTTATATTCAAAAATATCAATCCAAAAATTACTAGACATCAATTTTGATCAATTTTTGTGTCTGCTAATCAATCTTTAGTCAATTATTGAAAATGTAAGCTCAAAGTGTTTCAAAAAATTCTTTTTTATACATTTCAAGCTTCTTAATTCAAAACTTATTATTTTTTTTTAACATCGTCAAGCTTATTGAGCTCAAAAAGCTCATCGTTATATTAATAAAATATTTTTTCAAAATTTTGACATGTGACATGTCTCCCGAATGAATTTATCAAGTTTGATTTAAATTGCGGCGTTTACACACCCCTAAAAATTATAAAATTACATTTAGCTCCATCTTTGAATATCCTTTTAGAAAAGATCGCTATTTTCGATGTACCTACCTTGTCGATTGCTAAAAATCAAATCCCTAGAACCGTTGATAATAAAACCAGCTGTTGGCGTGCTTACTACTGTTGGTAAGATTACTACTTACCTTTTTTATGTGTCCTTTGGTAAAAGGATTGAATTTGTTACCTAGAATATTGATCCACTTTTATCAATACAGACGTAATTAAATATAAAAGCCTTTTAAAATTTCGGTTTATTCATACACTGAAAAAAAAATTCTTGGCTGGAGGATAAATTTTTTTGGCTCAAGAAAATATTAAGGAAGATTGAAAATTTATTGAACGGTCAAAATTTCTTGAACCAAGAAAATTTCTTCTTGCTCAAAAATAACTTTTGTCTTCCTCAAACTTTTCTTGGTACAAGAATTTTTTTTTCTGTGTATTATAAATCATGAAATTATGCATTTTTAAGCTAATAAATTATTATTTACCACTTTTTTTTTTAATATCATCCACATAATCATTATTTTTGATGTTATATTTATTTATTCGCTTATTTTTTTGGACAATATGAAAATCATATAAGTTCATGTAAAACTTCTCAAAATTCTACACAAAAAAATATAATCTCCAAAAGCTAGACTGTAAAAAATAGAGAGGTGATTCGGAAAAAAAATAAAACACTTTGCTAATAGAATTTTTAAATCAAAAAACTGAAACAAGTTTTAAGTGCAAAATTACTAGCAAATAATTTTTGAACAATTTATTTCAAAGTTTGTAAATATTAATTACATTTTTTTTAAATTTGACTTTAGAATATTGAAGAATATTTTATTTTAAAGTCTTTAATCATATACACGCTGAAAATTTTTTAGTGTACCGATTGTTGAATTTTCTCCGTTAAACTTTGAAGTTGTTCGATTTGTAGTAGCTTCACTTTGGTCAACCTTAATAGCTTATCAACTAAAAATTGCCTCCATACATGACACAGGCAATAATAAAATTATCTGACAGAAAATAAGCTCGAATTTCCCCAGCGGTAAACTTCTATTTCACCGCATCATAACTCAATAATTCTATCTCGGGGGCATCACCCTCGTCTTTCTCATTAACCTGAGTAATTATATTTACTTTCCTCTGGCAAATTTCTGTATAAAAGCTCCGAGCTGTTGTGATTTGACCACAGTGAGCAAGTGACTCGAAGAAGAACAACATCCTCAGTACAAGCTTGCAAAAGTAAGTATGCATTTTCTCTAATTAAAATATACAATACTTTTCTTTCTTTGGCAAATTTATTACCTTCATTGAAAATTGAAATTTTTTTGAATAATGCTCATAATTATTAGCTGTCGTCTGCAAGTAATGACCACTTACTTGTTTTGACATTCACATTTTTCTTTAATTCTTGAACTCTATAAAAGCTGAAAAGTTTAGTTGTTTCTTATCAGTTCTCTCAAAACTTTCAAGTCAACTACTTCTTGCTCTGGTAAAGTTATTAAATAATTTTCTTTAACGCCATTAATTAAATAAATAAAATTTTGCTTGATTAAATAATTGCTTTTCTTAAATTGTACTGTACTTTCTTGAATATTGACATTTTTAAAGATATAAGCTCATCTTGATGATACACTCATCAAGAGCTTTCATTTGAGTACCCACATGCATTTTTGATACATTTTTCATATATACATATATATAATATATATTTTGAAGATATAAGCTCATTTTGATGTTACACTCATCGAGAGCTTTCATTTGAGTACCCACATGCATTTTTGATATATTTTTCATATATACATATATATAATATATATAAATATATAAAATATATGAAAAATTGATGTGGGTATTCAAATGAAAGGTCTTGATGAGTGTAACATTGAAATGAGTTTATATCTTTAAAAATGTCAATAGTTCACAAGATAAAAGGTCATTTCTTAATTTCACTAAAAAAAACCGATTTTATCATATGACTATCCTGGA